AGCTGCTTTCCGAGTGAGGCAGCTGTCCCCGCTCAGAGCCATACGGCAGGACGACTGCGGTGGGCTTCTGAGGGCGCCCCAGACTCGCCAACTGCTGTCGAAGAGGGCGTCTGGTCACCTCCAGGTCGGGTCGAGCCACCGGAGAGCCGGCCTGGGCCGCGCTGAGCCGGACAGGGCCGGGCGACGAGCGCTGCTCCTCTGACGAGACGGCCGGCACCGCAGGACGCCGGGATAATCCCGCTGGCCGCGGCTCGATGTCGATCACCTCGATAATGTCCAGCGCCGGCTGGCCCGACGATTCGCCGTGGTCAGTGCGGGCCAGCGCCGGGGTCGGCGCGCTCTCATGCCGAGTTGTGCGCCTGAGTGTCACTGCAGGTGAAACGACCGCCCCAGTCGACTTTCCCGAAATACCGGTACTCGGACTCTCATCCCAAGTACTCACAACTTGAACTTCCTCAATGATACTGACATCAGGTTCCTGAGCATCCTGACTGCCCGATTGCAGACGGCCTACCGTTACACTCCGATCAGTAGTCGCATTCACAGCCCTCACTTGTGGCGAAGCTGGGCCAGCGCTGCTGCCCTGGCTAGGGTGGTTCGTGGTAGGCGCTTCAGTCAATGTCCGTGCTCTAAATCTGATACAGTGAGTCATCTTGAGATGGCTCTCCAAGCTGCTTACATCTTCATAAGTGGAACTGCATAGATTGCAGGTTAGCCCACTGACGTGATGGAGATACACATTCCAATAAATCTTCCATTCTACCCCATGGCAGTTAAGATGCTGTGACAGAGCTAAAGGGCGGTTGAAAGTCTTATTACAAATGGAACACTCTGTCAATGAAACTGTGTTCATCACTGACACCACCCGAAATGGTGGCCGATGATGGCAGGTTCTTCAATGTTCCCTCATCAGGATCCTGAAGAACAAAGGGTATGATTTAGTGGCCGATACCAAAACATTGTATCACACTGAAGGACACACCCATTTATGAAAAGACAAACATTTTTAGTTAAAAAAAAAAAACAAAAAAAAAGCAAGGAAACCCAACCCATTAACAGTTCATACTGCAACAGTTAAGTTCCATGTAGAAAACAGGTTGACACTAGAGCAGACAGAGTCCCGAAGTTGACACATGCCCCGCTAGAACTCCTGGATTTCCACGCTCTGCTGGGGGGGGGGAGAGGGGGGTGTGACTTTCAAGTTTCATCCCCTTTAAACTCAACTCCTGGCCATGTGGCGACACGCCATGGATGAGGTATTTCTGGATAGGACACTCTGCCAATATCCCGACCACCCAATTTAACGACAGGTAGGGCGTCGGCACCATTTTAGCATGGTGTCCTACGGGCGGAGCGTGTCGTCTTGGATACTTTTGTCCTTTATTGCTTACCTGTGCCAGTTTTTAACCCGCGCCCCGCTGGGCTATTCAGCCATACGCGCCCTGCTGGGGGGGGGGGGGGGGGGCAGATTCTGCCCCCCCTCTGTCTAACTTCCGAACCGATGGTCGTAGAAAGACGGGGAAAACGGCAATCGAAAGCTCTCAACAAGGCGGATCTTAAGAGCCCAAAATTTTTTGCTTAAGTAGGTCAGAGGTCAGGTCAAGGGTACAAAATGCAAGTTTCTACAGTATCGGCCTTGCACCGTAGTTGCCGAAGAATGGACTGAGCCTGATTGCCCAAAACGTGTCCTTAGACTACCAAGACAATATTCGTTGCATACAATGTCATTCAAAGGTCAAGGTCAAGGTCAGGTCAGGTCAGGTCAGGTCAGGTCACCAAAAACAAAATATAGAAAAGGGCATGTGCGACACATGTTTTATGGGTCATTTTACTCATAGAATTCAATAGGCACACTCAATAAGTGATGTGGACCACCTCTGGATGAATTTCAGGTCGATGTCAGGTCAAGGTCAGGTCAAGTGAGGTCAAATTTTGAAGTTGGTTGTTAAGGCCTAAAAAGGTGTCTATCTGATGCAGTTTTTCACGGCGAATCGAATGGTGCTATTTTTGTTTCCGTACGAGGTCTAAAACTTCCAAAAAATCATTTTTCAAAATTTTTGTATGTCGTGACGTCATACAATTTTGAATAACTCCCACATTTTTGAACCGATTCTTCTAAAAATTGGTATGTAGGTGCACATAGACCACTTCTCTGACATATATTCCGGTTTTTTCGATAAACTTAAAATTTTTGATTTTATAATTATTTTCCCAAAAAAGTCAGTTTTTTTTAAAATTGGGCAAAAATCCAAAATTTTCAAAAAACCAAGATAGCCATTTGATAGACAAAGTAGAATCACGTATAACCTTTCTTGTTACGTCTTGATTCCTTTAAAAATGAAGATATTAGCGGCGTTTGAAATTTTACCGTTTTTGAGGCGAAATTGGCGAACATGACGTCACTAAAACGTCAATTTCTCAAAAATTTTCTGATGGATTTCGCTCAAATTTTCAGGGAACGTGTCAAATTGATGTATGATAAGGTACTGAAAGTTTGACGTCGCTGGTGTAACGCGTTTAGAAGTTATTGGCGAAAAACAGGAAGGGGGCAGAGTCTGCCCCCCCCCCCCAGCGGGGCGCGGGTTAATGAAAGGTTTTGTGAATCTGGTAGAATAAGAAGTGAAGAGCCTCTCAAAAATAATTTTTTCCAGGTTAAACTAAACAAGTTGCTTAACTCTCGCCCGTACAGAAGCCGGGGGGGGGGGGTCGGGGCGAAACGGACCCCCTCGGTTTTTCGCAAAAAAGTGGCGTAAAAACGGCCGATCGCGACGAAACATTCAGTACCCTCACGTTAATCAATTTTACACTTACCCTGTAAATTTCATGACCCTGGCCTGACCCAAATGACCTTTGACCTGTGACACCTACATCTATGTTTGGCCAGAATCGCGATTCGGCGTATGTCGGCTTGCATCACTGCGCGTTTGCAGTCTTTTTGTGGTTTTAAGCGTTCAAGCATGTGATATTGATATGATGTTGGTCCCATGCATTAGGGTGGGTGTCAAGGTCACCTGAAAGTCAGGTCAGGGCCCTGTTTCACCGGTGATAGCAGCACGCTACTATCAAATTGCGCGAGCTGACGTAATGTGATGAGGTCACACTAATGACGTTTCGTGTAATCCGTGAGCTGCATTTGGAACAGAGTTGCTGTCTCGTTGAATGCGTTTGATAACATTTGTTTGATCGCTTGGCCGTGAAGATGTTAGCAGCAATATTTGATGACATCACACAGATTGACGGTGTCATGGTTTGTTGATGTTTCCATGGAAACCCAATTTGACACGTGTGACAGTCGGGGAAACTATGGTAAAATCTGCTATTTTTAGCAGTCTGCTATTTTTAGCAGAAATCTGCTAAAAATGGGTACGCATGTGACGTCATCGTACCCAAATATAGCAGATTTGGGTACGGCCCCATACAAAAGCAGATCTGCACCCTAATTGAAGCAAATGCGCATCAAATGCCTGGCAGATTCATGATTAGAATAGTGCTGAGAATGTCCTCTGATATTTTTGTTCAGATCCGACTATTTTCAAGTAATGAATTTGAAAATAGTCGGATCTGAACAAAAATAGCAGAGATCACTCTCAGCACTATTCTCATCATGAATCTGCCAGGCATTTGATGCGCATTTGCTTCAATTAGGGCCCTGTTTCACCGGTGATAGCAGCACGCTGCTTTTACACGTGTCAAATTGGGTTTCCATGGAAACATCAACAGGCCCATTGCTCCAACACTACCACAAGTGTGACGTCAGCTCGCGCAATTTGATAGCAGCGTGGTAGCAGGTCCCGTGAAACACCGCCTAGGGTGCAGATCTGCTTTTGTATGGGGCCGTACCCAAATCTGCTATATTTGGGTACGATGACGTCACATGCGTACCCATTTTTAGCAGATTTCTGCTAAAATTAGCAGACTGCTAAAAATAGCAGATTTTACCATAGTTTCCCCGACTGGTGATAGCAGCGTGCTGCTATCACCGGTGAAACAGGGCCCTGGTCACTGAACTTTGATGACCTCAGCTCACTTTTTCAAGTTTTATGAACATGTTTCTAGGCAAGTTTTTGGAGCTGAATTCGAATTTAGCAGCCATTTGAACATTTACGAAGTAGTTTTGGTGCCTTCGTAACATGCTACGAAGCTGTCAGAGGTGGTTAATTCACCTCGTCACAGATGCGAATTTCTACTACGAATACCTGGCAGGCAGGACCCCTACTGGTTGACCTGACCCAACCTGGCCTAAATGCATGAAGACATCATCTGTGTCTTGACTCCGACCCAAGGAAGTATATTGATATACCTTGACCTAGTCCTATTACCTATACCCTGGTATATACCGACCCGAGCTTCAAGCTGATTCAACAAAACCCCAATCAACACCTCAATTATTCAAATTCAATCATTCATTCACTTCAACTCGTTCAACTCTCCCCCATCTAACAGTTTTTCGCAAATGACTTTTGATAGAGGCATGCTAGAGCGATAGTGTTTTTATATACCTTGCTCTCCCCCAATTTCTCCAAAAGCAATTTTGATTTTTGTTTACTTTTTTGCTGTAGTTGCGACGGAAATGGCGCGAGGCGTACCGTCTATCGTGCCGTTGCTAAAATACTGTCAAAAATTGTTACATACGAAAACCCGAAAGGTTTCCGAACCCCGACAGCAGGCCCCTTCAAAATCCCATTGGTATACCTTTAGCTTTCATTTCATCTTGACCAATAATTTATTCGCCATTAGTTACACAAACTGACGGGTTACCTGTCTGTTTATCTGGACACCCCTGTGTATATTTATTTAACAAATTATAGCAGCATTTTAAACACATTTGATTGGCGGCTTTGGCGGGTTTTTAAAACTTTTTTTTCAAGTTCAGCTGCTTCAGCGGATGCAAGGCCCTATGACTATGAGTGCTATGAGTTATGACTCTTTCCTAACGGGGCCTTGGGCCTAACGACGTAGAATCTTCGCCGCCCGAGTCATCGAACGCGGGGCAAGTGACAGTTGGTGTATTGATATAGGGCCTTGGTCAGTTGTCAAAGAGGGTGAGGCCATGTCAGATCCATGAGACTGTAGTTTCAGAGTACATACCTACCTTCCTAGTTCCTACTGGTGAGAGAAATGAAAGAAAGAGGTTCTGGTTCAGGTTGGACATTCCCCACCAGCATAGCCACAGGCTCTATTTCACAATAATTTTAGATATTATGTTGGTAGCAGGGCACAAAAGAGTCATTGGTAGCTACCTGCCTTTGACCTCAATGGTATCAATTATCAAATCATTTATTTTTCAAAATCTCAAGTCTCAACACTGTACACTGTGGCATAAGAGTTTCAGGTAGCATTTGGTCAATATCAACTATCAAGTATGGTTTTTGCCTTTGAAGAATAGTTCACCTCAAGCTATGACCCCCTCGGTTATTTACAAGTCTGAGGTCGGTGTCAATGATAACACTATATCTTACTCCCTACACTAAGCACTATCATAAACAGGAGTTGCCAGTTTAAATAAAAACACCCATCTCACAACTTGGCCTATATGTTCCAGCCCAGCTCTCTGACCAACTTAAGTGATGCCTGAGGCAAGTCGAGAGGACGACTCCCCGCACGTGCAGCAGCTGCGCGCGGCGCTGCACTACGCCATCGGCCGCATCTGTGACGAGGTGGCCACCGAGCGGGGCACGCCGTTCCGGCGCACGGTGGTGGCCACGCTGACCGAGGCGGCGCTGTCGCAGGCGGCCGTGATGGCGCGCGACCTGGAGCTGTTCGCGCAGCACGCGCGCCGCGCCGCCGTCTGCGCCGACGACGTGAAGCTGCTGGTGCGCCGCTCGCCGACGCTGTCGGCCCAGCTGCAGCGCGAGGCGCGCCGGCTCGCCGCGCACGCCAAGGTGGCCAAAGAGCGGCGGCGGGCGCAGCGCGGCAGGCGAGGGGCGCGCGGCGCCGGCCGGGGCGCCTCCGCTGCGGCAGATCCGAGGACTGCGACTGACGCCGGTGAAGTGATGGAACTGGAGTGAAAATATAAGCCCGAGATGTGGTTACGCGGATTCTGCGTGTGCGTATCTTCGGATAAATCATGGTGTGATAAGGACTGTCGTGCCCGGGCTGAAGTGCGGACTGCAGGCGAAATGTACACTGCGTTTGCGCTATGGCTGAGCACAATGGCTGTGAAGTGTACCAGTGATCCGAAGTGCCCTATGAACACTGTGAGCCGGGTCTATGATGTGATGGCGCCTTCCAACAAACACCGCATGGTGATTGGTGACATGACTGGACTCTTATAGTCTATATAGACTGGATCACCGATTAACGAACGAGTGCTTATGAACTACACTGTTTTAGACTCAGTTCCGGTGTTTCATGCTGTGCCTGCGACTATAACGTTAAATTAGACTGCCCTATAAGAATGTGACTGAGGTCATATTGTGTAGCGGGCACCGGAATGACCAGTTATTACGAGTTCCTACGCTCCTTTCTTCACAGCAAAGTGTGCACTGAAAATGTAATCGCCGTTCAATAAAATGCTTAATGTGTTTAACGCCCATTGTGTAACAAGCGACATCCGACCGTGCAAAAATTCAGTATTTACAGCCGTTCGGTGTTATAAAGAGAGCAGCGATAAATCCTGGCGGTACTGAGTACCCTCGTATCGGGTTTTCCACATCGTCTGACGCAGGGCTGCGGAATCGGAGTCGGAGTCGGAGTCGGTCGGAGTCGACAGTTGTGACCGGAGTCGGAGTCGGAGTCGAAGTTGATTTTAGAAACCCGAGCCGGAGTCGGAGTCGGAGTCACCGAAAATCTGTCGACTCCGCAGCCCTGCTAGGTCTGCGGAGTCGGAGTCGGGAGTTGGAGTCGGTCGGAGTCGACAATTCTGCCCGGAGTCGGAGTCGGAGTCGGAGCTGGTTTTTGAAAGCCGGAGTCGGAGTCGGAGTCGGAGTCGCCGAAAATCCATCGACTCCGCAGCCCTGGTCTGACGTATTGAGGGAGGGGTCAGCCGCTTGGTCTTCCCACTTTCTGCATCTATGAAAGTGTTCGCCCTGGTATAGTTTCCTCAAAGCGCTGCTCAAAAGACGGCGTAATAATATCACAGTGTATATGTATAAATGCTCAGACCTGGCGCGTTCCGTTCATATTGTATGCGTGCCACTGCGAAGGTCGAGACATTCTCTCCTGAAAGGCGACTGGGGCGACTCACGAGTTCCGCTGCCCTGGCGGCCGACGTCACGAGTCGTCGGAGGGGAACAGAGCCGCCACCTCGCGGGCGGTCTCATCCTCAGCCGAGGGCGCAGGGTGGGCGGCCGGCGGCGGGGCCAGGTCCGGGGCCGCTGGTGACGAGACGGGACCGGGCGCGCGACCCTTGAGGGTCCACACAGGCGGCGGCTCGTCGACGGAGGCGTCTCCTTCGTCCACCGAGAGACTGCCGGTCGAGAGGCGTCACACCCACGGGTCAGGGCGGAGAGACACAAGCACATCGTGCGGATATTGCAAGTGGGTGCAGAGTACAGAGTGCATTCAATTCAGGTAGGTGACTCAATGACTGGGAACTTATCTAAGGTGACAACTGAGCCCGAAAGCAATGAAACATTTCAATATGATCTCACATCAAAACAATACAATCCTTTGACGAAAACAATCAACGGATCGGTATAGCTTGGTGGCGAAACACCATCACGTAACCCAAATTTATCATAAACTGCTGAATTCTAGCTCAGAACACATTGAACTCTTAACAGTGCAGTGGGGAAAAAAAAAACGAATTATACTCACAATCGCGGTAGCGGCAGAGTGCCCAGCGTCTCGAACGGACTACCGGCGTCCAGGGACGGCGACGACCGGTCCGAGACGGTGGGGACACTGGCGCCGAGCCGCGCCGGGCCGGCGGCGGCGACCGGCGGCGGACGGAGCACCGCCGCGCCGCGCTCCAGCTCCGCAGCCACCCGGGCGTCGGCGAACGACAGCGTAAAGTCGGCCCGCGCCCGGCCCGAGAGCACGTCCTCGGCGAGCGCCGCCGCGCGCCGCAGCCGCTCGGCGTCCCCGAGCAGCGCCAGCGTGGAGCGGGCCAGCTGGGCGGCGGCTGGGTCAGGGCTGGCGGCCAGCGGAGGCAGGGTGTCTGCTAGCCGAGCGGCGGCGGCGGCCGGCAGCTCGGCGCGGCACTCCCACACCAGCCGGCTCAGGGCGTGCAGGTGCTGCTGCAGCGGCGAGCTCGACTCGCCCGACGGCCGGTCGCGGAGGGGGTCGTCGGCGGCCAGCTGGGGCAGCCGGTCGCACACGGCGCCGACCGCGGCGGTCAGCAGCTCCGGCTCCAGCAGGTGGCCCGTCTCGCCGACCACCCAGAGCGCCATCCGCTGGACCGCCGGCGCCGCGCCGCCGCCCACCACCAGCTCGGCGTACAGGCGGGCGGCGGCCGGCCGCAGCGGCCCGCCCGGCGGCTCCGCGGCCAGCCGGCTGCGCAGGCGCGCCGCCGGCGCCTCGTCCTCCTCCAGCACTCTGTTGATGACGTGCAGCAGCTGCGGCCGCCGCGTCAGGTACCGTTCGGCGAGCAGCGCGGCGCGGCCGAGCAGCAGGGTGCGCAGCGGGCGGCGCTCGGCGACGGCGACCGCCTCCAGCAGTCGCTGGCAGACGGCCGCAGCGCTCTGCTCGGTGGCCACTGCGTGCAGCAGCTGCAGCGCGCGCAGTCGCACCGTCTCGTCCTCATCGCGCAGACACTGTACCACCGCCAGCTGGAGCGGGCCGGCCGGCCGCGCGCCGCCCGCCTCACACAGCCGGCAGAGCGCCGACAGGCCGGCGTAGCGCACGTTGCCGTTGGCGCTGCGCAGCATGAGCGCCGTGCAGCGCAGCGCCGCCGCGTGCAGGCCGTCGGCCGGCGCCGAGCCGTCGCCGCCGGCCGGGTCTGGCGGCGCCGGCGGCGGGGGCAGCGTGGCCGCTGCCGACACACACTCGCAGAGAATGGCGAACCCCATGACGGTGGCCGGCACGGGAGCCGTCAACTGCGACACCAGGAACTGCGAGAACGTCTCCGAGAGCCCCGAGTCGGCCGGACACAGGTACGAGATCAGCCTGTGGACGGAAACAGACTCAGAACTCAGAACGGAGACACATTATAAGGGATCAGTAGCCAGTAGGGATATGGAAACAATGGTCGGACTCGGGGACGCCCACAGTGATAACATATCTTACACGAGTGTCGCACATTGATTGGTCGCAACGTAGACACTTGGGGAATGTGATAATGCACATTGTGATAAACATGATGAAAAAGCATGAATTTCGAGCTATTTTAAAGCAAAGGACTGGAACTTAGTTTTGCGCACGAAGGAAAGAGCCTTCTCATAAGACCGGTCACGGGTGGGCATGGTGATGTTTATTATCGCAGTCACAGTCTATGCAATTTTTGTTGTTAAATGCCAGAGCTGGGCGCGTTCCTCGATTTTCGGTAGTGCGTTAGCGTTCCTGCGTTCCTCCGGCCGCGGTTAGTGCGTTCCTGGAATAGCGTTCCTCATTTTTTTTTTCGTTCGGTGCGTTAGCGTTCCTGCGTTCCTGCGTTCCTCCCTCAAAAATACCGCCGAACCACGCGGCGCGGGCCCAACCAAACACGGGGCGAATCGATCACAGAATACCCAGAATGGCGACGTGGGGCCGAAAAGCAACTCGACATCTCTTTTCCGAATCGATTATCTGAAATACGTTTTACGAACATCATCCGTAGGGTTTTCAACAAAAATACGACCTGCTTAAAAACAATAGTTAAGTTAAAAGATGTATCTTAGTAAAAGTTATCATATTTATTTTACACATTTAATGCCTGAAACTGAACCGAATAGTAAACATCACCACTAAAAATCTTTACACATTTAATGCCTGAAACCGAATCGAATAGTAAACATCACCACTAAATCTAAGCAAGCCTTCTTCGATTCGACCGACAAGTGGCGCCTCTACCGGCAAACACACGTACTCAAGATTCAAACATTTGACACAGAGGTCATTGGCAGCAACATAATTTTTTCGGGTGGTTCCGCAAGAACGCAGGAACGCTTCAAAATTTCAGCCGCACCGCCAGGTCCCACACGCCGCGCCACCACTCGTCACTAAACTGTATTCTCGCTCAGCATTGCCAGTATGGCGGCCAATAGAGGAGCACGTAATAGAGAAACAAGTACCCACTGGCGATAGTACTCGGTACAAACGAAACGCTTAATTCTAATCGGGAAACACTACATCCCCCCGCACTTAAACTTAAACTCCACGAGTTCAGCTGTCACTCCACGAGTTCAGCTGGATAACAATCACACACGAGTTCAGCTGGAGAACACAATCACAGGTCCAAGCGAGTCGGCTTAAACCTACGACGGCCTCGCGACGACGCGGTAAGTTCGCGGTCACTGCGGTTAGAGGCAGGTAGTCCACGATCACTGACCCGAGGGTCCACTCGGTTAGCCGGGTCGATCGGTGGCGCTAGTACAGGTGGCGCCGGCGGACACGGGGACGCCACGATCGCGGTCGCGCTCGGTAGCTCGCTCGGTAGCGCGCTCGGTAGCGGGCCCGGGGCCGCACCGACCGGCGGCGCCGGCGCGCAGGCGGTCGGTTCGCCGGCCAGCGGATCGCGAGGTGCGGCCGCACCGGCCGGCGGTGAAGACACAGGAGCCGCTGGAGACGACACGGACGAGGCCGGGGCCGCCGCGACCACAGGCGGCGGAGACGGCGGCGGCGGCGGCGGCGCAGGAACAGCTTCAGTGCTGACCGGCAGAGTCGGCGTCGACGGGGCGGCGCCGATCTCCCTCCTGGCCAGGTGAGCCACGTTCCAACGCGAACCGTCGGAGAGACCGAACGTAGCGGGTCCGTGACGGCTGACGACGCGGAGCGGCTTGCTGAACTTGGCGCCCTTCTTCTGGACGTGACCGGGCCGGCGGACGCAGACCGTGTCGCCCACAGCGATCTCGGTCGGCCGCGCCCGGTGCCGGCTGTCGTAGTGGCGACGGTTGCGGCGCTGCTGCTTGACGACCCGTCGTGCCACATCAGAGGTGACGCAGTAGTCGTCGAACACCGGCAGGTCCAGCCTCATCTTCCTGCCGTGTAGCAGCTCAGACGGCGATACACCGGTGGTGCAGTGCGGCGTGGCTCGGTAACGCGCCAGTCGGCCCTGCAGGTAGGCCTGGAACGGAACTTGGCTCTGCTGCGCGGCCGCCTGGACCCAGGACTTGAACGATCGGTTGAATCGTTCCACGGCGGCGTTGCCCCTCGGCCAGTACACAGACGACT